GGCGGCGCTGAGCCCGGCCCGCAGCCCCGCCGCCCCAGTGCCCGCCGCCCGCGCGCCCGCCCGCTCAGCCCAATGCTCCTCTTCGGGCTCCTGCTGCTGACATCCGCCCTGGCCGGCCAGAGACCCGGGACCCGGGCTGAGTCCAGCCTGAGCAGCAAGCTCCAGCTCGCCAGCACCAAGGAGCAGAACGGTGAGTGACCCCGCTCCGTCCCCTGCCGCGCCGCCCGCGCCTCCCGGCGCGCCCGGGCGGGACGCACCCCGGCCCGCGCGCCGCGTTCGCGGAGCTTCCGCGCAGCCTGCGGCTGGGGCAGCGGCCGCCGGGCTCCAGCGGGGCAGCCTGAGTATCCCCGCAGGCGCCGCCGCAGCGCGGACATGCTGGGAGCCCTGGGGGGCGTCAGGGCCAGCGCGCTCGCAAGACCTCTCGTCGCCGGAGTCCTAAGTTCGAGAACTGCCTCTAGACCCGAGTCCGACACGAACGCGTCCTGGCATGTTTGACTGTCCTCCGAGCTTTTTGCCCTGGGGAGGGGTGTCCCAGGACGTGTGTCAGCCGCATTAATTGAAGCGCTCGCGGTGGAAAGGCATCAATTAATCAGTAAGTAGATAGCAAGCCAAGAGGTCGAGGGGCCCCGTGGACGTGTGCAGGGGGGAATTAAAAAAATGTATTTCTCTTGTGCTCTTTTTTTTTTTTTTTTTTTTGATTAGTCATATAGCAAGCAATAAATGAGATGCTGAGGCAGATGCAAGGTTAAGAGCATGTCAAAAAAAAATAGCATGATGGTTATGTTTAATGTGGAGGAAAAATTAAAACCAAACAAACTGAAAACCCACATGCACCAAGTGGTTTTTTTCCCCCATTAACTATAGAAGTCAGAAACTGTTCTGTGTGTCTCTTTCCTTCCAAGCTGTACTGAGATTTTGAATTTTGTAATTTATACTAATATGTCAATGTACCAGATGTAGTCTTTTGAGGCTCTTTGGTTATGGAAAGCAGATGAAGTGAATTTTCTGTTGAAATTTGTGTTTTTTTTTTTTTTTTTTTTTTAATGTGCCTTTGTACTCCTGAAGCCCTTACCTTTCTGGTGGTGTGTTTTTATGTGCGATGGTGAGTGACTGCTATTTTGTGTGTGCTGGAAACGACTTAATCCTGCATAGGAAATGAGAATTACTTTCACCTTTCAAGTGTACCTGAAATGTTTAGAAAACTCTCAGATGCAAGTTCCCTTGGGCTGGGATCGCACAGAGCCGGAGAAAGGCTCCTTTCATAAAGCCAGGGCTGCTTCAGGGTGTGTAATTTGCTTAGCCTCTGAACCCCATATGATTTACATCATTCAATTTTTAAACCCTTTTGCTCTTGATCTAACATTATGAAGTCATTTTTGAGACTACTTTGTAAATAGAAATTTTATACTGCACATGAAACCACAATGTCAATGCAGGCTGTCTAAAATTAGAATATTAAACACCCTGTTTACAAGTGGCGGCTCTCGGTGTTATTTGAAAAGAAATGTACATGTTTTTACTGCTTTGTATGCCATCTGTTCAGAATGCAAGAAGGCTGTCACTTCATGAACCGTGCGAAACGAACGTGAGCAGCATGTGCCTAGGAGATCAGAACGCCCTGAACTGTGTTTTTAAGTCACAAGCAACTTTTTCTGTAGGTTTTGGAGGGGGTGTCTCCGAGCTTCAAGTCTGGATTGAAACTCTCCAGAGTGTTCACCTTTAAGAAAGCACAGAAAGTTCTAGAGTCCAAAAAGAGAGAAAATAAGGATTCCTGGGACCTTTGTAGCCATTATCTGTACTTGCTGTTTGGGCAGCAAGACAAGGCATCACGTTTATCAGCTGATAGTACTGCGGTTGCTTCTTACGACTTGGTGATGTGATGGGACGGGGCACCTGCAGGCTGCTTGAGCTGCTGATCAAAGGGATCACGTCCAAT